TAATCGCATTCCACGTTCTCTGTTCCTATTATTTTTTTTATTTTTTTTTTCAAAATTATTGTAATATTGATCAATCATATCATAGCCTATATGATAAATGATGGCAGAAAACTATAATAAAACTATATAATTGATTACTGTTTTCGTCACTCGTTTTTATTAAAAGAAACCCATTTATTTTATTTAAAAGTCTTTGAATTTAGTAATTTTATTCTTCCTATAAAATATATGCAAGCTATTTTAAGGATCCACTAATTAATCATGACAAGTAAAAAATATTGGATTTTTTTTATGAACATGCATGTGGTAATCCGGGGGATGTTCGAATATGTGGAAACACATGAATCATTTTTGGCAGAAAATAATAGATTTTTATGGCTAAAATAATTATGTTTTTTTCTCAAAATAATACATATATATATATATATATATATATATAGATAGATAGATTCCATGTAATTTCTAATACTTTTTTAATCACGATTTTAAGGTAAATAAAAATTAATTTTATTGGTTGCAAAATTTGTTGTTTGTAACCAATGAAAATATAACACGTGTCTATACAGTCAAGCTTTGTCCGCACATTCATGCACAAAGCGTGAATCATACCAAACGTTATGGACAGTCATTTTACAGCATAATTTTTAATATTTACACAAACTATTTTATAAATTGCACGTTAAATAATTCGAATCTGATCATTATTATTTTTGGGATAATTTCACGTTTAAAAAATTATAATTTCAGTGTTTGATGGATAATTAAGAATAAAATTTCAGCAAAAAATGAAACATTAAAAGTATATTGAAGAAAATAATTTAAAGATAATTAATAGAATATTTGGTAGGGAGGGGGGTTTTGACTAGAGCCACCACACATGTGATGCGAGCAGCTTTGGAGATTGTGTTGTTATATTCCCCAAAGGATCTTTTGGGCCATAACTTCCGTATCTTCATCTACCAAATGTCGGCGACTTTATTATTATTATTATTATTAATAAACTAAAAAAATCATAACTATACTATTTATCTAAAGTCTTTATAAAAAATCATCAATTACTTTAAATTTGATATAAAAAACTATCAACTATTAGTTTTAATTCAAAAACATATTTTACTTTAAATTTATTATAAAAGTCTATAATTTTTTAAAAATATATATATATAAATTTTATTTTTCAAAATTTATAGATTTCTATAACAAAATAAAATATTTTCTCAAGAAATTTTAGATAGTTGATGATTTTTTTTTTATTAAAACTAATAGTTGATAGTTTTTTTTATATCAAATTTAAAGTGAAAGATTGTTTTTAATAAATTATATAGTCCATATTTTTTGTTTATATGATTTTTATAATAAATTTAAAGTATAATTTTTTTGTATAAGTAACATAATTGGTGGGTTTTTTATTATTAACACAACACGAGGACCTTTTTAATTAAGACAAAAATCTGTGTCTGATATTTTTATTATATCGAATTTTAGTTCAATTCCAATTTTGTTTGAAGTCATCTCGTATCTACAAAAACAATTAAGCTGTATAAAAAGATTTTCATTTTTATAAGAAAATATTCGGATTTCTGTAAAAGTCTTAAGGTTTTTTCAACAAAAAAATGCAATTCAATTTAAATTTTATTTCAGCGTATTCATTCAAAATATCTAACTTTCATATTTAAGGATGGAAACCTTTTTTGACATTGTGGGGGAAACAAAAGAAAAACATGAGAGAGACATTTTCGGTCACTGTGATCACGACTGGATCACCATCATCTGTTTCCCACCAGTTATGTAATCAGACGAGCTGGATTCTCCCATCTCTCCCACTTGTCAAATTTCTCTCCCTTCGGTGTCTGAATTCTGATCTAAATCGGTAATAACAGAGCAGATTTACCTCCCATCGTGAGGCGTGACCATTCGCTTGAAGTGCGAGGCGTCACTGATCTCTGGGGCGGAGGATCCCAGAGAGAGAGAGAGAGAGAGAGAGAGAGAGAGAGGCAGCCATACCTGAGCTTGGCAAGAGAGATAGCGAAGGCGACTGAGGTTAGGGTTATTTTGGGGGTCGAAGAGGAGATGAAAAACGGCTCTTATACACAGTCTGATATATATGTGTGTGTGTGTGTATGTAAGAGGGTACGAATATAAAAACATATTTAAAATTATTTAATTATTTAAACGGGATTAAATCATGTAATCGCTGATTAGAGCGGCCAAAGCGAAGCAACTTTTCGTCGTGTCATATCTTCTCCCGATGGCAAAACCCAATCCTTTATGGCATCCCCTCTTCCATGAGCTCCATCTCCGCAGCTCAGACACGGCGGCGATTAGGGTTCCGGCATGGCGGCGAAGAAGGCGTGCGAGGCTTTTCCGAAGAGCTTGATCGAGGACGTGCACAGATGGGGTTGCATGAAGCAGACGGGTGTGAGCCTCAGGTACATGATGGAGTTCGGTTCGAGACCCAATGAGAGAAAACTTTTGATCTCTGCTCAGTTTCTCCACAAGGAGCTCCCGATTCGGATCGCGAGGAGAGCGATTGAGCTCGAGACCCTTCCCTACGGTTTATCTGAGAAACCCGCCATTTTGAAGGTGCCCTTTTTTAGGGTTCAGATTCTGGGTTTTTCATGGTCTTGTGCTGTTGCTCTCGTGGGATTACGCGGAGGTTCCAGTTTGTTATCGGTTTTCTGGAAATTGGGTTCTGAGGGATCCTGCTGACATTTTTGGTGTTTGATCTTTCATCGTAAATGGGTATTGCGGGTTTGTGCTGAAATTCTGGTTTTTGATCTTTGGATTACCAGTTTTGTGTTTGGCTGACAGAAATTTGTAGGACAGATGATAGATTTTTAAGGAAAAAGCGGAGAAGGTATTAGATTCCGCATCAGCTTTTCGGCTATAGAAAATTCCGGGAACAGTTTAAAAGAATGCTTCATATCTTTATGCCATCTTGGGAAAAATCTGATACCAGATCTGACAATTTTGCTTTTTGGGAACAGCAATGATCTGTTTTCGAGATGCCCTGTTCGTATGTGATGTCTGTGGTTGGATTTCTTCGGTTTCTAGGTGCGGGATTGGTACATAGAGTCATTCAGGGACATGAGAGCGTTTCCGGAGATCAAGGGCACGAGTGGAGAGAAGGAATTCACTCAAATGATTAAAGCCATCAAGGTGAGGCATAACAATGTGGTTCCAATGATGGCATTAGGTGTTAATCAGCTGAAGAAAGGATTGGGTCCGAAGATTGTCTCTGAGGATCTCGATGAGATTCATCAGTTTCTCGATCGCTTTTACATGTCAAGAATAGGGATTCGTATGCTTATCGGTGAGACTTGGTTTATGATCTCTGTTTCCCGGTTGGAAGGGTTTCATCATTGAGGTGTAATACCGATAAAATTATCGTGAAACTCACTCAGGGCAGCATGTCGAGTTGCATAATCCAAACCCGCCGCCTCATACTGTCGGTTACATTCATGCTAAGATGTCTCCCATGGAAGTAGCAAGGAATGCTAGTGAAGATGCTCGGGCGATTTGTTTAAGAGAGTATGGAAGTGCACCCGAAATAAACATTTATGGGGATCCAACTTTCACCTTTCCGTGAGTTCAAGTTCATCACTTTTTCTTTTATTTTGATCGGATTCTTTCCTTACTCGTTTCTGTTTGCGTATAGGTATGTTCCAACCCATTTGCATCTAATGGTATACGAACTTGTGAAGAACTCGCTCCGTGCTGTCCAAGAACGGTTTGTAGATTCCGATAGAGTTGCCCCACCTATCCGGATAATAGTCGCCGACGGGATCGAGGATGTCACAATAAAGGTTGTTCCTTTCTAAATCACTCTTGCCCTTTTTCAGCTTCTTTAACGTTCCGGGGTCAGTGACTGTTCTTGGTGGTATAACAGGTCTCTGATGAAGGTGGAGGCATACCGAGAAGCGGTCTCCCGAAAATCTTCACTTACTTATACAGCACTGCGAGAAATCCCCTGGACGAGAATATAGATCTCGGGACAGCTGATGTCCCGGTGACAATGGCTGGTTACGGGTACGGTCTCCCGATCAGCCGCTTGTATGCTCGGTATTTCGGAGGGGATCTTCAGATGATATCCATGGAAGGATACGGTGAGTTGTCATCTCATTTCTACTAGCCAATCTGTTTTGAAACATTGAAATGGAACCGATCTTATTCCCGAGGGTTTTGTGGATCGTTTTCAAGACTGAACTCGGGGGATTCGTTAGTGTTATGTTGTCAAATGTTTTGCAGGAACTGATGCGTATCTGCATTTGTCTCGCCTGGGAGATTCACAAGAGCCTTTGCCGTGACATTGCCTGATCATGTTTCTCGGTTTCATCTGTCATTTAGGGTTTTTGTTTTCCTGTACATTCACACTGTGCTTATGGTTTCATTTTTCATTCATATGGAGATTTTCCCAAGAGAATGATTTGATTAAACTCTTGTCCTCTTCCCTTGTATCTGAAGCAACGTCTGCTGTTCCTTGCCCGAAAGTCACGGGCACTGGTCGGATATCCGAGATTATACCCGAGCGATTTGGATTTGGGTTGTAAATTTCGGAATATGACCTAATCATCTACTTATTCGTTACCCTTTCCCCCAATGCTACTTTGTTGTGACAAAATTCCATACGGGAACTCTCAAAGACATTCTTAAATCTAAATCCGAAATCTCAAGAGATATTATTTGGTCATAGACTCGTTTGGTCGAGTATTTCGAAAGTATGTAATATGCTTACACAAATTTAAATATAAAATTTAGAATATTTTTTTTTTAATAAAATCATTTATTAGAAGTTCACTCGGATCAATATCCAATCCAAAATTGACGGGTAAAAATATTTTGCCAGTACCCTTAATTGAATCCGAAACTGATTTTTTGGGTTTCTTTTAATTACGAAATTATAGAAAGTATTAAGATAAAAACTTACAGTTAACAACATCTCAATTCAATTTACAGTTATATAATTCTAAATTAAGATACTTATATCAACAACTACGATATAGTTTTTACCACCTCTTTTTTAGATTTTTTTTAAGGCAAATGTTACAGAAATACCGTAATACAAACCTCTCCTTACAGCAACAAAAAAAATAATAATAAAACAAAGAAAAAGCGAAACAAAAAAAAAGTTTCCGTGAATAAGTTTTAAAATTCAATTAAAGACAAATTCAGGATTGAATAGTAATTTCCTCAAGGTTTCATCTTTTTCATGGTTTTGGCCTTATTCCACTGAACCTGCTCCAGCCGCCGGTGGTGGTTTCATCTCCGGCTCCACAACTCCGTTACCATGGGACTCGGCCGATGCCGGGTTCGGCTCGGGTGGCTTCACGTCAAACCCAGAAACCCTCGGCCGCCTTTCTCGTCTCTCGTAGCTTGGGCTAGGGCTCCGGCTGTAGCTTCTACTTCTGCTACGGTAACGGTTGTATCTTGGGCTTCGACTCCTAGACCGCGACCAGCTCCGGCTCCGACTTCGGCTATAGCTTCGGCTCCGGCTCCGGCTCCTGCGGGGTTGTGCTGAAATTCTGG